AAACATGTTTAAAGTGATTTACTTAATCAAAACCTCTCATGGACTGATGCTACGTTCTGATGAAGTTTGCATCAGTATACAATGAATTGAGAAAAATAATGACAGTGTGCTTCCTTTTATGAAATGATAGTAGATGGTATAAGGTTTTGTTTTGTTTCTTTTAATGATGCTACTTGGCAGTATATGGAGTTGGAAATCCTATGTTGATCCTACAATATTTGTAAAATAAGTTTTCTTGTCCATAAAATTAACAACCAGGACAGAGAGATAATTTCTGTCACTGGGATGATTAAGGAAGACTTGGTAGAAAATTGATTTGTATGTTATAGGTTCTAGATAATTCTGAGTTTGACCAGTGCAACCTATGGGAGAATCTGAATGAACAAAAACAGTAGAGTGGAAATGAGTAGATTAAACATGTTTGAAGAACTGCATTATGGAGTCTGGAAAGGAAAGTTGGGTGAGGAGGGTGTAGTCAGCCAAGATGGAGGTCCTGAAAACTAAACTGTGAGTGGTTTGAACTTGATTCTTTGGATAATGGAAAACATCTAAAAGAGTCAGAAGAAGTGACATGATGAAGAAAGATGCTACTTCAGGGAGATGAATCTGCCAGAACTGTAAGGTAAATTGGAGGTGGAGAGACTAGTTAGGAGGCAGTTGAGGTTTGTAATGTGACAGTATTTGTATTATGTTTCTGGTCAGAAAATAATTTGATCTTTCATTAAAATCCATATAGGTCTTTGATAGTAGTGGGTGAAAAGTAAGTGACTATGTAGTCTGGGTTATGGTGAAGTAAGTCAGGTACTATATAAGTATGAGAATTCTATAGGTAACTGGAAACATTTCCTAAATACTAGTCTTTCAGTACAGGGAATGGCTTGTTGTTGTTGTTGTTAGGTGCCATCGAGTCGATACCAACCCATAGTGACCTTATGCACAGCAGAAAGAAACACTGCCCGGTCCTGGGCCAACCTCACTACTGTTGCCAAGCTTGAATCCACTGACGCTGCCACTTGGCCAATCCATCTCGTTGGGGGTCTTCCTCTTTTTCTCTGACCCTCCACCTTACCAAACATGCTATCCTTCTCCAGTGACTGGTCCCTCCTGACAATATGTGCAAAGTATGAGAGACAAAGTTTGGCCATCTTGGCCTCTAAGGAGCACTCTGGCTGCACTTCTTCCAAAATGGATCTATTGGTTCTTTTGGCAGCCCATGGAACTTTCAATATTCTCCTCCAACACCATAACTCAAAAGCATCAATTCTTCTACAGTTTTCCTTATTCACTGTCCAGCTTTAGCATGAATATGAGGTTATTGAAAATACCATGGCTTGAGTCAGGTGCACCTTAGTCCTCAAGCTGACATTTTTGCTCTTCAACACTTTAAAAAGGGCCTGGCTTAGCCTCAGAGAATATTCAGGGACAAAGGACCTAGGGCTCTCACAGTAAGAAACCAAAATTCTAAGCACTTGGTCATGGAAGATGATTTTTCCCTGACCTACAGCTGCTTATCCATCTCAATATGTGGTTTTATCACTTAGGGGAGAGAAAAACATGCTGCTGTTGTTAAGTGCCATTGAGTTGGTTCTGACCCACAGCAACCCTGTATAGGGTTTCTGAGGAGTGGCTGGTGGGTTTGAACCACCAACCTTGAGGTTCAAAACTGACCTTGCAGTGTAGCACATTATCCTGCAGTGTCACACCAAGACTCCGTTATTGTTAGATACCATGAAGTTAGCTTTGACTCATGGAGACCCAGTCCTGGGCCATCCTCACAATCACTGCTGTGTTTGAGCCCACTGTTACAGTCACTATGCCGCTCATCTCACTGGGGTCTTCCTTTTTTATGCTGACCTTCTACTTTACCAAGCATGATGTCCTTTGCGAGGGACTGGCCTCTCCTAATAACATGTTCAAAATTTACAAGACCAAGTCGCACTGTCTGCAGTCTGGATTCTCTAGAGAAGCTAAACCAGTGAAAGTTAACCTCTGTATATATAAAGAGAGGTTTATATCAAGGGAGAGGTGGGCAAAGCCCAAGTACATGGGTCAGATGTCAGGCTGGAGCTTCTGACTCACATAGCTGCAGGGCTGATGAACCAAAACTGGCAGATCAGATGACAGGCAGGCACATCAAGCAGGTAAAATAGCAGGCTACTGACAACTCCCAGGATTAGCAGGTGATAGAGCAGGCCTCTAACTCAAGTCCAAAGAACCAGAGGTTGGATGACAAGCCAGATGTAGCACCCAGACCCAGCAGAAAGTAAGCAAGGTTTGTCCAATATATTGAAAGCAGATCACGTCTCCAAGGAAACTTCCTTTTAATAGATTGGCTGCTCATAGCAGAATTTATCATGGGGATTGGTGGTGGTGGTGGTGGTGGTTGTGTGCGGTGAAGTTTGTTCTGACTCATAGAAACACTGTTTAGGGTTTCCGAGGTGGTAAATCTTTATGGGAGCAGAAAGTCTCATCTTTTTTCAGTGGAGCCCCTGCTAGATTCGAACTGCTAACCTTTAGTTTGTAATCCACCATGCTACCAGAGCTCCTTATAATGGCGATTACTACATCTTAACTTCTAAACCACTGAGAATCCTGACCTGGTGAAGTTGACACAATACCTTAACCATCAAACCATGCTTCTAAGGAATATCCCGGCTATAATTCTTCCAAGACATATCACAAGTTGTATTGTTGTAATCCTGATGTTTGAGTTCTTCCTCATAAACTTCAGCCTCTCAGACTATTTGCTCAGCATACAGACTGAATAGTTATGGTGAAAAGTTGACACTTATCTTTCCTTATTATAAACCACACCCATATCTCCTTGTTCTGTTCCAGCAAGAGCTTCTTGGTCTAGATACAGGTTCTGCAGAAGTACAATTAAGTGTCCTGGAATTCCTGTTCTTTGCAATGTTATCCATAATTTGTTATAATCTATGCAGTTGAATGCCTTTGTATAGCCAACAAAACACAGGTAAACATCTTGCTGATATTCTCTGCTTTCAGCCAAGATCCATCTGATATCAGCAATGATGTCCCTTATTCCATATCCTCTTCTGAATCTGGCTTTAATTTCTGGCCATTCTCTAAAATCATTTTAATTTTATTTGTGTGTGATATTAGTGATACTGTTCACTAATTTCCTCATTCTGTTGGATCACCTTTCTTTGGAATAGGCACAAATATGAATCTCTTCCAGTTAATTGGCTAGGTAGCTATTTTCCAAATTTCTGTCAATTCCTGAGGCTGAGACTTCTTTCAGGACCATCAGTTCTTGATCATATGTTAGTTACCTCCTGAAATGGTTGAACATTGCCAATTATTTGAGGTTTAGTGACTCTGTATATTCCTTCCATCTTCTTTAGAATATTTCTTTCATTAAATATTTTGCCCATAATATCCTCCTATATTGGAGTTCTGGTGTGGCACTGTAGGATAAACACTCAACTGCAAGGTTGGTTTGAACCGCAAGTTGGTGGTTAAGATCTACCAGCCATTCCTCCAAACCCTATACCTGGTTGCTATGAGTCAGAACAGATTTGGTGGCAGTTAACAACAACATCCTCCAGTATTACAACTTGAGGCTTGAATTTTTATTCAATTCTTTCAGCTTGAGAAATTCTGAGTGTGTTCAAAAACAGTAATACCATTTCTGTGACTTTTGGCTTCCCTGATAGGGCCTTTATTGATTGGTTAGTTTTATAAACAGCCATCCTCCATCCTTTTGGACCTCACTGATTCCTGCTTTGTAGGATCAAGAGGTCATGGCCACTATAACAAGTCAGTGTTGGAGATAGAACTTTGGGGTCCTTAGCCACTTGTGTTCTTTTCCCAGTTAAACACATTTTAGCATGGCTTCAGGGCACATGGATGTCACAGGAAATGCAAGAAGCATTAAGGGGAAAGGCAACTTTTCTTCCAGCTCCTGAGAGAAAGCTGCTGTGGTCCTGGCCAATGTTTTCCACAGTCTTCTTTCTAAGGATCTGAAATCCAAAGGCTTGACTGTAGAGTCCATCCAGTAGTGGACATTGGAAAGAACCTGAGGTAGTGTTAGTGCTTGGGGGCCAAGCCCAGTTTGCCACCATCTCTGTGTTCAAGGGTGACAGCAGAGAGAGCGGCATGGAGTGGACAGATACAGTGCTGCCATTTGTTGTACAACCAGCTTTGGCTCTGCTTCCGGCTTCTCTACAGAACTGACCCAGAACCTGGGAAAGATGGAGTGAGGAAGAGGCAAAGGGCTCAGCAGATCTTCAAGGAGAACAGATTTTTCTCTGGCCTAGGCGAAACCATTACTTTTTAGCGTAGTGGTTACGAATCGGGCTGTGAACCTTAAGGTCAGCGGTTCGAAACTACCAGCCGCTCCGTGGGAGAAAGATGAGGCTTTCTCCCCCGTAAAGATTTACACCCTCGGAAACCCTGTACAGGGTTACTATGGGTCGGAACCGACTCAACGGCACTTAACAACAACAACAACAAGGAAGATAAACTTCCCAGGCCTTCAGTTTGGCTAAAGGGATTCTGCCTTCCCCAACTTCCATGGTGTATGTGAGACGGGCAGATTCTGCTACAGTTACAGCTAGCAGACCTTCTGAGGATGCAGAGAACTGAATTGGACTCTGTCTTAGGAAGGGGATTTGCTGCCAATGTGGTCATGAGACTCACTACCGCCCAGAGTACAGAAGCCTGCCTATGCCCGGCTTCTCAGGAGGCACACCCTAGGAAGCCTAGTGCTAAGTCTAGTTGTACAGCCACAAGAAGTGAGCTTGTTACAGCTGATAGACCGGTGACTGGTCCCATCGCCTCCCTTCAGGGCTTCAGGATCACCCTCCCATGTTGACTGCTCTACCCTGAGGCAAGTCTGGAATCCTATTGTGAAGAAAAAGCTGGAAAACAAGGATATGCAGAGCAGGCGTGAAAAAGAGGCAGAGGTTTCTGGCTAAGATCTAAAAGGAGGGGCTTAAGAAAGGAAGGAAGCTCCAAAGCCTCTACCCAGACTTTGACCCTGAGGCTCGAAGACAAGAGAAGAGCTAAGCCCTGCGTTCCCTGTTTTCCCTTTCCTATTTTGAGAGTTCTCCATCTTCCTGCACTGACTGCCTTCTGTGACTGACTCCTTTCTCTTCCCTCCTCCTTCCCTAGGCTAAAGGGCCCGCAGGGACTGACAGGGTAGCTGAGTGACTGCACTGTGGGTATGCCTGCTTTCCCTTCCCCCTTCCCTTAGCAGCAACGTCACCGCAGCAAGGATACTGGGGCTGGCATTGCGCAGCCTCCCTGCATTAGCAACGATGCCATTGTATTAGCAGACATCAAATCTTAGGAAATTGGCCCAGTTCCCTCTATGTGGCCCCGTGGAACAGCGCTTCATCCGGAACTGTCAAGGTAGAGCTTGGTGGTATTGCAAAAGGAAGCAAAGCCTCCGGGTACCGTCAAGGCTTCTTACAGAGGTATGGCTCCGCGAAGCTGGGGGGAGGGGCAGGGGAACCGGTCAGCACATTTAGGCCCTTGTTTATGATGGTTGCCTTTGTCTTTCGGAGACATAAAGAAGGAACATTAGACATGCTCGTCCATGCATGCATTGGGCTGTGGTGCAGAGAGGGGAGAAGCAGAGGCTTGAGCTTAATGTGATTTTGTCAAGAAGCTAAAGGCCCCTCCTTCCTTCTTCCAAAATGCTTGTTCTTGTTTTGGTTTAAAGCTCCTTGCTGGGCATCTCTAATGCAGCTACTATATAGTGTAAGTCAGCATGAGGGGATCTGATCTAGAGACAAAGGCTAAATTGGGAGGGGACACTCCTAAAGCTGCTATGAAGCTTATGATGGAGAACATGCAGAGGTCCACGCAGCTCTAAGAGGAGGGATTGAATCAAAGCATTAAGCCCACCTTTTCCCTCCTCACACAAGTAGACACACATACCTTTCCCAGGCTCCAGTGAAAGGATGGAGTAAGAATGTTGGCCAAGAGTTGCCACAGTATATAGGAGTGGAGACAGTCATCTGAATACCTAGGACCTGTTACAGTTAGTCATATAGATTTAGATCACTGGCAGTAAGAAATCTGAGCTTAAACTAATATTCTTGAATCCCTGCTCCTGACCTCTTCCCTTTAATCCTATTGAGAGAGGACACAGATAGGTTATCAGTACTATTGATACTCCCTAACAGGACCTCAGGTCAAGGTCAGATTGTTCATCCTCATTTAGGAGACCATAAAAAGAAGGGTTTATGGCTGGCAGAAAGGAACTGGTGACAGGGAAAATGATTCTTGAGTTAAGAACATTTTTCTGGCCAGTTACCCTATTACTAAGCAGGGAAATAGAGTTCCGTAAATTCCCATTCTGTTGGATGATTCCCATTCACCACTCTGTTGGATGATTCAAAAATATGATAATAGGAAGGGGCAGTGCTACTTTGTGCGGATGTGTGGTTGGGGAATACACTGGGAAATTGTGAGTGTGTGAGTTCCCAGGAAACGTCAAGGAATGTGAACACAGAGCAGAAAAAGGGCTAGGGGCCCATGAATAGGGTAGGAAAATCTGCCTGGAAAGTGGGGCAGGAGGTGGGATTAAAGTGTTATTAGAGCTTGGGAACTGTAAATTCATAGAGAGGTGGGTAGATACAAACTCTAAAAGTAAGGGTTAGAGTATAAGCCTACCCAGGAATGTAGAAAGCAGCTACAGGGTAAATACAGAGGCTTTAAAAAAAAAAGGGGTGTGGCCCTGAGTGTTTTGTTGTTATTGGTTTCGAAGCAGTTATTGTAGTGAAAAGAATTAGAATTTGGTAGATCTGTTTTTGAATCCTATCCTGTTAGCTGTGCAATTGTGGACAAACTATTATATACTATCAGATTCATTTCTCATCTGTAAAATGGGATGGTTATGCCTACTTGACAGGTTCATGGGGAATTAGAGACAGTATATGTAAATCAGAAGGAGCCCTGTGGTGCTGTGGTTTCAGTATTATAACTAACCGAAATGTTAGCGGTCAGACTCACCAGCCACTATGCAGAAGAAAGATGAGACTGTCTGCTCCTATAAAAAGAAGAACAGTCTTGGAAATCCTATGGAGCAGTTCTGTGCTGTCCTCTAGGAGCACTATAAGTAAATGGAGAAGCCCTAATGGCACGGATGAGTCCTGATGGCGCAATGGTTGAGTTCTCAGCTGGTTACTCAAAAGTTGCTGGTTCGAACCCACCAGCCACTCCATGGGATAAAGACATGGCAATCATAAAGATTACAGCCATGGAAGTCCTCTGGGGCAGTTCTACTGTGTCCTACAAGGTTGCTATTGGGTCAGAGTCAACTGGATGGTAACAGGTAAGGCATCTGTTGTGTAAATACTCAGTAAATTATCATTCATGAATGATGTTAGACACCCATTTGGGACTTTGTTGTTGTTTTTAGGTGCCATCGAGTCAGTTCCAACCCATAGCAACCCTGTGCACAACAAAACGAAGCATTGCCCGGCCCTGCGCCAATCTCACAATCATCATTATGCCCATTGCTGATGCCAATGTACCAGTCCATCTCATTGGGAGGGGGGGGGTATCTCTCTTTTTCTTTGATCTTCCACTTTACCAAGCATGATGTCCTTCTCCAGGGACTAGTCCCTCCTAATAATATGTCTGAAGTATGAGAGACGAAGTCTGGCCATCCTGGCTTCTAAGGAGCATTCTGATTGCACTTCTTCCAACATAGATTTGTTTGTTCTGGTAGTCCATAGAACTTTTAATATTCTTCTCCAACACTATAACTCAAATGTATCAGTTCTTCTATGGTTTTCCTTATTTATTGTCCAACTTTCCCATGCATATGAGGCTATCGAAAATTCTGTGGCTTGGGTCAGGCACAATTTAGTCCTCAAACTGACATCATTGCTCTTGAATACTTTAAAGAGGTCTTGTGTAGTAATTTGCCTGATATGTCATTTGATTTCTTGACTGCTACTTCCACAAGTGTTGATGGTGGATCCAAGAAGAATGAAGTCTTTGACAACTTCAATCTTTTCTCCATTTATCATGATGTTATTTGCTGGTCTAGTTGTGAGGATTTTGTTTTCTTTACATTGAGGTGCAAACCATAGTGAAGTCTGTGATCTTTGATCTTCATCAGTGAGTATTTAAGTCCTCTTCACTTTCAGCAAGCAAGATTGTTATTATCTGCATATCACAGGTTGTTAATGAGTCTTCCTCCAATCCAGATGCCACATTCCTCTTGCTGTAATCCAGTTTCTTAGATTATTTGCTCAGCCTACAGATTGAATATGTATCATGAAAGAATACAACCTTGGTGCACGCCTTTTCTGTTTTAAGCCAGTCAGTGTCCCCTTATCTGTTTTAACAACTGCCTCTTGGTCTATATATAGATTCCTCAAGAGCACAATTAAGTGTTCTGGAATACTCATTCTCTGTAATGTTGTCCATAGCATGTCACGATCTACACTTGTTATATGGTGTCAAGTGAGCTCTGACTCATAGTGACCTCTATACACAACAGAATGGAGCACTGCCTGGTCCAGCACCATCCTCACAATTGTTGTATTTGAGCCCATTGTTGTTGCCACTGTATCAGTCATTTTATTGGGGGGGGTCTCACTTCTTTTTGCTGATCCTCCACTTTTTCAAGCATGATATCCTTCTCCATACAGTCTCTCCTGTCTATATGTCCAAAGTACAAGAGGTGAAGCCTGGCCATCCTCACTTTTGGCCGTACTTCTTTCAAGACAGATTTGTTTGTCATTGGTTGTAGATCCAAGCAAAATAAAGTCTTTGGCAACTTCAATCTTTTCTCCATTTATCATGATGTTATTTATTGGTCCAGTAATGAGGATTTTCATTTTCTTTACATTGAAATGCAATCCATACTGTAGGCTGTAATCTTTGATCTTTATCAATAATATTTCAAGTCCTCTTTTCTTTCAGCAAGCAAGGTTATCTCATCTTCATATCACAGGTTGTTAATGACTCTTCCTCCAATCTTGATGCCACGTTCTTCTTCATATAGTCCAGCTTTTTGCTGACATTTTTGTTGAGCATACAAATTAAATAAATATTGTGAAAGGGTACAATCCTGGCACACACCTTTTCTGATTGTTTTACTTATTCAGTATCATGTTGTTCTGTTCTAATGAGTTCCTCTTGTTCTATGTACAGGTTCCTCATGAGCACAGTTAGTGTCCTGGTATACCCATTCTTTGCAATAGTATCCTTAGTTTGTTATGATCTACACAGTTGAATGCCTTTGCATATTCAATAAAACTGGAGTCCCGGTGTGGCACTGTGGGTTAATGCACTGGACTGCAAAAAGTCAGTTTGAACCACAAGGCTGGTGGTTCAAGCTCACCAGTGGTCCTTGGAAAACCTATGCAGGGTCACTATGGGTTGGAACCAATAACTGCTTAGTCTACCCGTCTTTTTCCACAGATGTAATCAATTTGATTCCAGTGTATTCCATCTGCAGAGGCTTAGGTGTATAGTCACCTTTTTATGTTGTTTTAAAAAGGTATATGCAATGAAAAAGTCATTGGTATTGCAAAATTCTATCACACAATCTCTAGCATCATCTCTACCACCAAGGCCGTATTTTCCAACTAGGGCTCCTTCCTATTTGTTCCCAACTTTCACATTCCAATCACCAGTAATTATCAATGTATCTTGATTGCATATTTGATCAATATCAGACTAAAGAAGTTGATAAAACTCTTTAATTTCTTCATCATCATTGGCTTTAATAGTTGAAGTGTAAATTTGAATAAGAGAGATATTAACTGGTCTTTTTTGTAGGTGTGTGGATATTATCTTATCACAGACAGCATAGTACTTCAAAATAAACCCTGAAATGTTCTTTTTGACAATGAATGCAACATCAGAAAACGGGCACTAAGGAAGAAATCCTTCCCTGATTCTGCAGAGCTAAACTTCATTACTGGCTGAGTCTGCCCCTCCACATCTTCTTAATCTTATGGGCCACATCATTAAAATGATCTTGATACAGAACCAGCCACTCGCAGGAACAAATCTGAGTAATGCTTTGATTAAACATTCTCTGTGGTGTTTGAAATCAAGTCATATGTACAATACACTTCCATTACATTCTTCACAAGTCAAGAAAAAAGTCAAAAATTAGAATTTCTAAGTTCCATCTTAATTCTTCCATTTATTCACTGAGTATCAGACAAGTCATTTCATTTTTCTAAGTGACAATTTTCCTTTTTTAAAAAATCAAGATGGCATTGCCTGCATTAGTGAGTTGCTGTGAGAATCAATGACATGAAAAACATTAAAAGTGCTTTGTGAAAGTATCAGGAACAAGGCATGAATACAAAACTTCGTGAGGCACCAGCAGAACTTCCCTTTAGTGATTGAATTGGAGTGATCTATGGTGGAACTATTGGCAGGCGTTTCCCTTAGTCATGTGGAGATCAGGTAGGAAGAAAACCACTCTGAGATTAAA